ACCAGCACTGCCCGCAGCACTATAAGCAACAGAACCAGAATCAGCAGCAGCAGCAGCACCACCACCACCATCACACCACCAGCAGCAGCACCATCACCAGCAGCAACCCCACTGAAAAGAAGAAAGCTTGCCCGTATACACTAGTCTGCCTACACATTTCAATTATTCACACATGCCTGTACGAGTACGTACCCTTTTTCCTGGCGTCGAGCACGGCGTCCGCAGCACTCTTGCTCATCACATGCACAACATACAGTGGACAGTTGACCTGCGGGTGGGCGGGTTGCAGCAGCACACAGCACACAGCACACAGAACAGCGGCGATGACGAACTCTACAACCACAACTGCACACATCCGTTTTCCGCAAAAAATATCCGGATAGGCGAGGGAATTGGATAATCGAACACACATACTGTATGTATGCATGGCATAAGCTGTAAATCGGTAACCAACGATTTTCTTCCGGATGGTGAGGGATCCGGATAAAAGAGGACCGGATAAGCGAGGTCCGACTGTAGTAGAGGTTCCACAGAAGGCATAGCGAGGGAAGCGCTGCTCACCGGGTATCGAGCACCATCCGAGCAGAGGTAGAATGCCTTATGCATCCAGGTATGCAAACCATCCGAGGTGCTGTGATGACCAGTTCGAGTTCGGATTGTTCTGCCCGTGGCATGCTTTCCACGATGCTGAAGACTGCGAAAAGTGGCTCGTACGGACGGTGAGCGAGCAATGGCAAGCCGCAACACGTGTAGTGCGAGGCTTTCCAGGATGCTGGAGCCTATGAAAACCGGCTGATCTGAACGTTGAGTGATGAGTATTATAAAAGCACTGCCGGGTTCAAGTCGGTGGATCCACTAGGTCCACTCACAGGTTCGCTCGTGTCGGATAGATTAAACCAAGTGGATAATGATTTGATGATGTTGAGCTACGTGATAAAAGAATAGTTTCCAAAAAGATGCACTCAGTGTTACAAGTGATGAGTGATGAGTGGCAAGTCAAAAGGCATGTAATGTGTGGTGGCAGGTCTTGGGAATCTCCTGGAGTTACACAACCGTGACTGCTCACTGGCGCACAGTGCCGTGTTTGCAAATGGCAGACAGCAACAAAATCGTCGGGTTTATCCAATTCTCAAGGAAACAGATCATGTTGAATCACCATGCTTACCTGATGAGCGAGGACGGTAGCACGAGTAGTGGCTTCTCCTTCAACCTACACCAACACGCACAGGCACAGAATCAATGTCAAGGAATTGGCGTGCACACGTGCGAACGTGTACACACACAGACACAAGGACACACACACACACTCACACTCCTTGTATACATGAACGCACGCACGCACACACACACACACCATTGACCCCCCCCCCCCCCCACACACACACACAGGCACAGCCTTTCCTAAAATAGCTTCACGTGCAGTGGAAGTATGCAACACAGAATCCCCACAGCTATTCTAAAAAAAACATAGAAAGAACCAAAACTTGAACATCCCCCACACACACGCACACACACACACACACACACACACACACACACACACACACACACACACACACCATGTACCATACACACACATACACATGCCAGACGTAGATGCACGCTCAACACGCACATTCACACAAATTCACTTGCACTCACCTCCTCTGGACGACACATGGCATGGCCCTCCGGACCAGTGATTCCCAGCTCAATCATACGCTTAGATTGCTGTAACAGCGAGAGAGAGAGAGAGAGAGAGAGAGAGAGAGAGAGAGAGAGAGAGAGAGAGAGATGGCAAGACGTTAGACATTTCAAGCCACATTATCAAGAGTACACAGCCAGACGGCACAACTGGGGCATTGTTCGAGAAAGTGTAACCTGTCGTTTACGTCTTTTACCATATTGATGCAATCGTACAGTAGAAGTCCAGATCATGACTTCCATGACTCATCAAGGAATGTCGCAAAGGATGAACTCCTTTGTACTGAAGAACCCATATGCAAAGTTGCACACTTGTTTTTTTGTGCTCTTGATATCAGTCGTTACAGTCATGCGGCAGAACCTCAACAACTGTACATTACTACAGTGCATAGATGCAGCACAGCCACAACCAGCTGAGAGCAAAGTAGAAATGCAGAGCAGCTACTCAGACCGCAAACAACACAACACGTGTAAGACGGGCACCGGACACAGTGAATCCTGTCTATTAAAGCCAATCATTGAATGTGCTCCTCATGAGCAGGTGGTGCCCTGTGTAGTATGATAGACTCCGCGACTGCACAGCCCTGTGTCCCTATACCGTAATGTCGCATACTAAAGTCGGGCGTATTCCTGTAGAAGCCGATGTCAGGGCTAGGCTTCTATTCAAACCAGGTATTTCTATTCAAACCAGGTATTTCTATGTGCGTCAACACTAAAACCAGGCTTGTGTGCCGACAGTGTATCTTGAAAATCAGGCTTCTATTCAAAACAGGCTTCTATACGAAAATGTTGAGTCACCTCCACCATTACACTGCGCTCTTTAGCCGACTAGACCCTCCTGCACCGTCACCACTGCGAGGACACTTCCGTAGACGATATTGATAATTCCTTCAGACAGCTCAGCTGTTTCGCTAATACATAGCTCATCAGTGAAGGTAGACGTTGACATTTTCTTCAATGGCCGAGAGCTCTGTCGCACCCTGGAATAATATGGCTTCTATACGAGACAGGCTTTTACAAGACAATAGGGTACAGTGTATATTTACGACTGACATTGCCTTTTCTGCTGGTACTTACTAGACGCTGTACCATAGCAGACTCAGCGGAGGACGTTCAGGTTGATTGTAACTCTGAATTTCATGTCGCTAGGCAATCATCAGACAACTGATGAATGTACTAAGCTCTGTCTCTGACATTGAGCACCCTCTGCAGCGCTCGGGGGTCAACGGATCATTCGTTTTAGACACTGTACCATATTGCTCGCACGCACACCAGTACCTTTGGACTCTCAAACTATGAATGCATGCGCACACCAGAGAGGGAAAGACGGTTTCTCCCCTCGTGGTGTTTGACAGGCCACTTACATCATCAATGACATCGCCGTTCTCGGCATGCACCTGCGCCAAAGCACCGATCTCACCGCAGACCTTGAATGAAGCTAGCAGCTGGTAAAGCGGGTGATAACACAACAGAAAATTATATACGTGGGCAGATACACACACACACACACACACACACACACACACACACACACGCACATGCATGCACATGCATGCACACACACGCACACACACGCATGCGTGCATGCACACACATGCATGCAAACGCACGCACACACACACACACACACACACACACATGTACACAAGCAAGAACACATGATTTGGGTTAACGTTCTACCAGAAATACCCAGTCCATGTATGTGCGCACGTGTGTGTGTGTGCGCGTGTGCGTGTGTGTGTGCGCGTGTGTGTGTGTGTGTGTGCGTGTGTGTGTGTGTGTGCGTGTGTGCATGCGTGCGTGTGAAGGTTTTTTTTGGGGGGGGGGGGACAAATGGATTCCGAAGAGTGCATGGAATCCAATCAAACAAGACGTTTTCATGGCATATACACCCTACCTCCGAATCATCCAGCTGAAAGACATTCTTGTAAGCAAGGAACATCTTGAATGAGTTCACACCTGCCAGCAGCATAACACAAGACACAGCGACCAACACAATCAACACACAGATAAGAGAAAAAAGGCGATCATGCCCCACCACTCTGGCAACCATGGTCGGTAGTACCACACAACGTCGCATGTAATAATAATAATAATAGTTACAGTTCGCATGTCACTCATGAAAGGATCCATGGGCTTAACGCATCTGTCAATGAAATCCAGGCAGAAGAGCCAACAAAAGGCATCTCAATATTGTTAGAACGTATCGCAGTAAGAACAACTACCCAAGCGCAGCACATTTTCCACAAGCATCAGCCATTTGTCGGATGCTACTGCAACAGCCAGTCATATGTGAGAACGCTCTCCGGACGGCGTGGGCTCACATCCCCTACACAGATAAAATCTGGATGTACAGTTTTTTTCACAGTTCGCGCGAGACTTGGCTAGACCGAGTTTTCCGAATCTGCAGAAACGCCGCCAACCGTTAAAAGGATCAAGGCGCAGATAAAAACCCTAAATCGGTGGCAGGCGAGTAGATCAGACCCGCCACTTAAGTGGTCAAAGACCGAATATCCAATTCCCATTCGGATGTACATAAATAGGAACACTTTCAAATGAAGATTTCGTTCCGAGCCTAGTCCAGTACTGGCATCGATGCTGCCAAGAGGTCATTGGACTTCGGCCACGTACCTTTCTCATCAACCAGTTTCTTCATGTCCTTGCCGACTTGTTCACTCCACCACGTGACACCCACATGGAATGAGTAGTCACACACCACTGCATGGGAAGAGAGAGAGAGAGAGAGAGAGAGAGAGAGAGAGAGAGAGAGAGAGAGAGAGAGAGAGAGAGAGATAGATAGATAGATAGAGAGAGAGAGAGAGAGAGAGAGAGAGAGAGAGAGAGAGAGAGAGAGAGAGAGAAAAGAGAGAGAGAAAGAAAGAGAGAGAGAGAGAGAGAGAGAGAGAGAGAGAGAGAGAGAGAGAGAGAGAGAGAGAGAGAGAGAGAGAGAGAGAGAAAGAGAGAGAGAAAGAAAGAGAGAGAGAGAGAGAGAGAGAGAGAGAGAGAGAGAGAGAGAGAGAGAGAGAGAGAGAGAGAGAGAGAGAGAGAGAGAGAGAGAGAGAGAACAAATTCAATACGAGTCTACGAGTCGTTATTATACAACACCCTCTATTTCTGTCCGGGCTATTGGGCAGTTGGGCACAAGACCACACAGAACTTCAGAGCACATCATCAATCTACTTATGCCTAGCACATCCTCTAACAAAGGGTACAGTGAACTGAAGATGACCCAGTCAGCCCAGTACAATACACACAGGGGGTGCAATTAACAGTCATTCACCATACAGTGTGCCTTCTTCATTAACAAAACACGGCTGGTTGAGGTTAAGTGATCTGGCCAAACATGCGACTCGTCAGAATACCATGTCTGACAGCACGTCCTGGACAGCAAGTCCTAATCTTAATCTTAGAAGCTACTAAGTTGACTAAGCTTCAGCTCCAGCTGCAGCTCTACGCACAGCAAATACCGTATTTCCCCGAATATAAGTCGCACATTTTTACACTAAACTTCAAAGGCAAAGTAGGGGATGCGACTTACAATCGAGAGTGACATCCTACTTATATGCATGTATTGAAACAATGTGGTTCAAACCTCAAAGTGGAGGTGCGACTTATAATCGAGTGCGCCTTACAATCGGGGAAATACGGTAACCCAATGCGCGTGCCAATGTGTCAACACATTTCAAAACGTCCTGCACAGCGAGTCCTAATCTTACAAGTCACTTCACAGGCAGTGCATCCTCGTCTCTTACCCTTGGGATCAGCCCAGCCACGCCATTGGTCGTAAGCATCCAGCAGCGATGTGCCACGACTGCCCAGCACAAAGTCAACTAGAAAGAACACACACGGGGAAAAAGGAGAGAAGAGAAATGGCACAGCAGACATGCAGTGAGACCGACTGAGATCAACTGAAGCCGGAGGAAATGATACAGGTCTACCCTCGCTAGTACGACATAGGTTACAAGACAAATCTCATTAGAAGACAATGATCAAAAATCCCCTGACGCCTGAACGCGTACATTCACGTCCGGATACCGTGCAGGCAGAAAATTTCATCGGTCAATAATTTCGTCCAACTCCAAAGAAAGGGAGTTTGTCCGGTTGTAAATTTCGTCCATGGATCATAAGAGTGTATTGAAAAGCTGGACAAATCGACATTAGTCCGGCATTTAACTTAATTTAGTCCAAAAGCTCCTTGGACGAAAAAGACGAAATAAAATTCCAGACGAATATTTCTGCTTATACAGTAGTAGATAATACTGGTTATAAGACGAAACCCACGGGGTTATCCAACCCACGGGGTTGTCCACTAACGAGGGCAGAACTGTAGAGCGGAAACAAGACAGTTTGGTTGGTAGCAAAGTGTATACCGGAGTGGTGGGAACTGTGAACGGGCAAAGTGTATACCGGAGTGGTGGGAACTGTGAACGGGCAAAGTGTATACCGGAGTGGTGGGAACTGTGAACGGGCAAAGTGTATACCGGAGTGGTGGGAACTGTGAACGGGCAAAGTGTATACCGGAGTGGTGGGAACTGTGAACGGGCAAAGTGTATACCGGAGTGGTGGGAACTGTGAACGGGCAAAGTGTATACCGGAGTGGTGGGAACTGTGAACGGGCAAAGTGTATACCGGAGTGGTGGGAACTGTGAACGGGCAAAGTGTATACCGGAGTGGTGGGAACTGTGAACGGGCAAAGTGTATACCGGAGTGGTGGGAACTGTGAACGGGCAAAGTGTATACCGGAGTGGTGGGAACTGTGAACGGGCAAAGTGTATACCGGAGTGGTGGGAACTGTGAACGGGCAAAGTGTATACCGGAGTGGTGGGAACTGTGAACGGGCAAAGTGTATACCGGAGTGGTGGGAACTGTGAACGGGCAAAGTGTATACCGGAGTGGTGGGAACTGTGAACGGGCAAAGTGTATACCGGAGTGGTGGGAACTGTGAACGGGCAAAGTGTATACCGGAGTGGTGGGAACTGTGAACGGGCAAAGTGTATACCGGAGTGGTGGGAACTGTGAACGGGCAAAGTGTATACCGGAGTGGTGGGAACTGTGAACGGGCAAAGTGTATACCGGAGTGGTGGGAACTGTGAACGGGCAAAGTGTATACCGGAGTGGTGGGAACTGTGAACGGGCAAAGTGTATACCGGAGTGGTGGGAACTGTGAACGGGCAAAGTGTATACCGGAGTGGTGGGAACTGTGAACGGGCAAAGTGTATACCGGAGTGGTGGGAACTGTGAACGGGCAAAGTGTATACCGGAGTGGTGGGAACTGTGAACGGGCAAAGTGTATACCGGAGTGGTGGGAACTGTGAACGGGCAAAGTGTATACCGGAGTGGTGGGAACTGTGAACGGGCAAAGTGTATACCGGAGTGGTGGGAACTGTGAACGGGCAAAGTGTATACCGGAGTGGTGGGAACTGTGAACGGGCAAAGTGTATACCGGAGTGGTGGGAACTGTGAACGGGCGGGCAGGCCTACTTCACCGTCAATCCGGAAACAAAGCAGTCTTGTCCCACGAGTAACAGTACACATAAATAAATAAATAAATAATCCCGGATAAAACGACATGATTCTGCATGCACTGCACACTGCAGTGGGAAAGAGCTTCAGGCTTCTCTCAAGCAACATTTTCACAACAATTGACAAGTACTTTCGATGCGTCCTCATCTGATGAAATGCAGGCAAAGAAGAACAATGATCGAGCACAGTGATCTTATACACCCCAGAGATGTGATAGAAGCAGTGCAAAGAAGAGTGTCCGGCTACTCTCCTCTGCGCCGTTTCTATCACGTTTCTGCGATACACGATGCATTGTGCTGGTTCATTTCCTTTTCGCCTAGTAGCTATTCTTCTTTGCTCTGTTTCTATTGCGCCTCTACTGCCTACAATTCATCGTGATAATGCATTTTCTTTTCGCCTGGCCACCCTTGTTCGCACTGTTTCTATGAAATCTGCACTGTGTAAAATTCATCGCGTTCACTCATTTCCTTTTCATCTATAATTCAACACCCGAGGAGAACGCATAGAAAGTACTGGCGGAAAAATTTCAAAAAAATTGCTTGTGAGGAGCCTGAAGCTTGGTCTTTACTCAAGTTTTTATTTTATTTTATTTTTTACTATTATTCACAAACCCAACTCCTAAAATAAATAATTACGTGGACAAAAACAAACAGCTACTGTGTAGGGGCTGCACTGGGCAGCAGTGATGGTGAGGTACCAGGGGCTTCACCGACCAAAGGTCTCGGCTTCAATGCCACAAGCGCGCACCAGGAAAAAGTGTGATTGCATTGTCGCCTTCCAGAGAACTATTATGGACACTCAGTACACGCAAGTTGCCTGATGATTGCACTGTGCAAGGAACTCGGAGTTGCGAAAACACACTGTAAACCCCCGCTGTGCCTTTGTGTGGACAATCAGTACCCGATCTGTACACCTGGATAATCTCTGTAGAGGGCATGCAGGGCGCGAAATAACGGTCGGACATCGGACAATTTCCGACCGTTTACGGTCAGTTTCCGGATGTTTTGTACATATCGGGACAAAGTGTCCGCGCACCTTTTTGCAAAGTACAAAAAAGAAAAGGCACTTCAATCCTTTGTCTCATAGTCATTAGTGATGTCGTCTGGCAAGAGAAAGCCAAGCACCGCTGATGCGGGTGCTCCTCTTGGAAAGAAGCCCAGAGGAGTCAAGACGACCACTTGTGACAAGTGGGTCGCCGAGTATGATAGGGAGCTTTCAACTACTTCTGTTTGGCTGAGCTATGAGCGCAGTCCCTCAGATCGTAGCGTTGTCGAAAATTTGAAGTGTAAGATGTGTTCCCGTTTTGTTCAAAAAATTCGCAGCAGCAAGAATTTTTCTGACTCCTTCGTCGTTGGCTCAAGGAACCTGAAAACGTCAGCCATCAAAAATCATACTGCTTCTGAAATGCATCGTCGTGATAACATTTCGATGGTATTAATTCTACACTGAACATTGTGTGATTTGATGTGAAAGTTGCATGTCCGGACATGTCCGGCCATTTTTGCAACTGGCAGGACATTGTGTCAGAGCATATTTTAATCCTTAGCGCATGCCCTGGCATGCTACTACATCATCAGCTGAGAGGCGTTGTACGGAGTGGCAAAGCCGCGACATAGCGTGATGCACTAGCTCAAGTAAGACCCCCAGTTCTTCGGTGACTGAGAGAACAGTTGCTTATAGTTTACAGTGTGCTTGCTTACTGATCATGGTTGTGCCTCCGGCCACGGCAGCCCGGGTGCCGCTGTAGAAGTCGTCGACGGCAACGGTGCCCATGAACGGCAGCTGCATGTGGGTGTGAGTGTCGATTCCACCTGAACACACAGCACATAGCGTACAGGGCGCAAAGATAGACCGACAAGATGACAACTGAACTCCCGATCGAAGTGGTGTTAGCTTACAGAGCGCAATGACTGTATTGCCTTCAAGTGCTAATGCTCTCTCTCTCTCTCTCTCTCTCTCTCTCTCTCTCTCTCTCTCTCTCTCTCTCTCTCTCTCTCTCTCTCTCTCTCTCTCTCTCTCTCTCTCTCTCTCTCTCTCTCTGTCTTTCTCTGTCTCTCTCTGTCTCTCTCTGTCTCTTTCTTCCTCTCTCGGCCTGCACACCAAACTGTTGGTTACCACACCGATGATGGAAAACAGAATGGAAAAACGGAAGTATTAGAATAGCGCCCAGTTTTCACTTGTTGGTAGTCAATCAATTCGCACAGTGCACACTGACCTGGCATGACAAGTTTGCCGGTGGCGTCGACGACTTCGCATTGGCTCGGCTGGGTGATGTTCGGTGCCACTTGCCTGTACGTCACAGTAGAACCAAGAGCTAGTAAATCCACCGGTTCAACAAAACAAGTTTGTGTGTGTGTGTGTGTGCACACGCGTGCGTACGTGTGTGTGTGAAAAGACAAAACAAGTCTGCACCTCTTCCTGGTGCAGAAAAATTGCATTTTCAACAATGCCATAAAAAAATGGAATTCACTAATAAAAAATGGAAAAAATAACATGTCAGAAGTGGGATTCGAACCCACGCCCACATACGTGGACCAGAAGGCTCCAATCTGCATTGACTGCAGAAGGTACACAAGACCTTGAGTCTGGCGCCTTAGACCGCTCGGCCATCCTGACACGACGAAATCATTGCCTTGAAAACTGCAACTTGGAGATTGATGCCACGCGGATGTCTATTAAACTTTGTGAACAAAGGCCGCCTGGCCATGTTACTTTTGTATTTCTGAGTTCGCTAGCCAACACAATTTTTTTCAGCACACACGGCGTGGTTCGGCGATTGTGACCTTTTGCCATGTACTGGATCAATTGTTCATGTCTGTCTGGCGATGGCAACGAGTTCCAGCCGACCGTAAAACGGCCGATTTTAGCGCCGGTGATATTTTAGCGACTTCAGCGAAATGAGAGTTTTCGCTCGAAAGCTTTGCCGCACCAATCGAAACGTGGTCTTGGTGTCCAGGTGGCCTTTTTATTCAAGGTCATCTGAGTGGAATTAGCATTCCTCGATAATAGTTGCAGCAGTCCTTTGGAGCAGGTGGTCGCCTCGGCAGGTTTTACAGACAGGGGCGGATCCAGGCAGGGTTCCAGGGGTTCCGCGGAACCCCCTAAATCTCGTAAGGGTACTACTGGCAACCATATGCGTGTCCATGTACACTTGTATCAGCTATTCAGTTTTGACTATACTGGAACCCCACTGAAGAGATCGCTGGATCTGCCGCTGACAGATTTCAGAGGATTCACAAATCCTGATTGTGAATTAGCCTAACAAGTTCAGTACACAGCGACATACTTGATAATTCCATCTTCACAGTAGACGTCTGCAACAAACTTCCGGTCGGCGTTCACCACCGTCCCGCCGCGGATCAACAGCCGAGACTACGCACAGACAACGGAACACAGGGCGAGAGAAAAAGAACATACACTCATTACCTCGGTTATCCGGACCCCAAAGTTACGGGCACTTCGGTCTACCGGGCACCCTGGGGGCAAGTTTCAGTGGAAATATTACTACTCCTTTGTCACTTTGTGTGGAAAAAGTGACGTCACATGCCATGTTCTGTGCACACTTGTGCACTTTCCCCATCAAGATGTATATGATTCGGAGTTACGGACATTTCAAAGTTACGGGCAGTGCAAGGTCCCGGACTGCCCGGATAAACGAGGTATGAATGTAGATATAAAACAACCCTAGCTGCATCTGGTAATACTGTAATTTTACAAATTTTCGGTGTACTTTTATTTTCGGTGCGTCTGTTTCATACCTAACATCTCAATACACCGAAAAAACACTAGCAGACATAATCCAATAGGGAACTGCTTCTCTGCACCTAAAATTTCTGTTCACCTAACCTGGCCTTTTGCCCCCATACCGAAAATATTGAGCACCTAAAATTTCTGAAATCAGAGTGATAAAGCGCCGGGAAAAACGATTACACTTCCAGTAAAACTTCAGTATTACGTACATACACCTCCAGGGGCCGTAGAAATCTGTACTGCATAGCCCATGGTCTGCGTATCCGAGGTCACATGACTAGTAGTATACAACAGAGGGTCCTAAAAAATAGTACGTCATGCCCGGGCCATTGTATGCTATAGGGCGCATTCAGACCACCGAGAACCCCGGCATGAAACCGTGAATGGAGATAAGCCGTGAAGGACATTCACATTACTGATGAACTACCGTTACTTGTGCAGCTCTCACCGCGGCACTGAGAAGGGTATTTCCCTTTACTCCCTGCCCGAGGACCTTGTTTTACTGCTCGAATGCTGTTTCCGCCGCAGCAGCCGTGGCAGTAAACCGTTTCCGCCGGCAAAGTGCCAGTAACGCTACGTGATCAAATCACCTTGGAAACTTTCACATTCCGTCGCTTTTTATCGGTACAGTATCCTGAACGCGTCCTTATCCGGGGAGCTTTATACTGAAGTTTCGCCTTATCTTAGTTGACCCGCATGTGAGCGGACGGGGTAGCTACGTAGGCAGATCCTATATCATGGACCAACACACATGCAGCCGCGTGGAAGTCCACGTGTAAAAGAAACAGACGGTCTGAGTCTGCATCAACCAGACTCTCAAATTCAAATTTCATTACAGAATGCTCATTGCCCAGGCCAGGGTACAAGTTCACACATTCACAATGTAGTTAGTTGTACATCAAATTCTCAAGGAAAGACAATAATTTGAAAAGCAAATCGAAATTCTCAAACTATAGTTGTAGTCAAAATTTTCAAGAAGGGACAACAATAATTTAAAAAGTAGAAAGTGTTTTCACAGCGTGACCGACAAGAATTCAGTTCGGCAACACAGTCGAGTCAAGCTCTTCATTATTATTGACAGAGAAAGTGGACGTTCTCAAGCGCATTGCTGAACCCCGCAGATAAGACAAGTGGTACATTCTTACGTACCATGTTTGCAACGAGATTCCAAGCTAACCCCTCTCGTGGGACGTCCGGACGTTAGAAACGATGGTGGGAAAGAGGGAAAGGCCCTGTACTGCCTCGACCTCTGGAATGGTCAAGACAACAAAATCAAGTGTGGAGAGCGCGACTTTACAAGGTCCAAGGGAATCGACAGCTTGCGTCGTTTTGACTTGTGCAGTGTGCAGCGCATGTGGCCGGCCCTGGGTCTTCTACCATGTCTACCAATGGTCTACAGAGTGGATGCGTGAGTGCATGATGCTGTGCATGTGTGCCATGCCAGATCCAAACACTAAAAATAAAAAAAAAGTAGATCTACAACAGTACAAGTACAAGTCAAGTGTCCTTCAAAAATCACATGCAGGTATGCACACATGCCGGCCGCCAAGACGACGCCTTGGCATCGCGTTCTTTGGGAACCTTGGTAACTCATTCAAGATGGCGCATTCTCTCCTACAAAAGCGTGTCTTTTCACTTGGGAATCATTCCTGGCTCGTTCTCCTTCCTCGTGCGGTTGGTCTTTCTTGCCGTGGACGTTCTTTCGCTTCTTTGGTGTCTCGACTCGCCATGGAAGCTCTTCCTGTTTATTGTCCTTGTGACTGGCGCCATCCTTCCTAATCATGGTGAGTTTTTTTTTTGTGATTCTTGTCCTCTGGCTGCCTTTTGCAAATTATGTGAATCCAATGGCATGGGATGACTTTCCTTTGGGAATCTCTCTGACTGGCTTTTACCATGTTGACATACAAGGTCTGATGAACTGATGCCTTGGATTACTGTACTTTGATTACCTGTGAAAGTGAGCCTATTCTGCACAGCTTCAATAATATGTTTCTCTTGCTTTTGTTTTCTTGTGAACGTTCAGGACCCATCTCGGACTTTTGCTCTCTAACGACAACAATGTTTCGACTCTCTGGGCTTGGATCGGCTCGAGTGGCCTACACTTTGCTTCTAGAAGCCAATCGAATCCAATGATCATGTGAACTTCTTCGCAAGTACAGCACTGTAAGTTATTCTTTCAGGTGTCTTTATCTGTTTGTGATCATAGTCTTTTCATTTTGTCTTGCTGCAACCAACCTTAGTTGCAGAATGTTGCCTTTATGTGAATCCGATGGCATGGGATGACTTTCCTTTTGTGTCAGACTGGCTTTTATCATGTTGACATATCAAGGTCTGATGAACTGATGCCTTGGATCACTATAGTATAATTACCTGAGAAAGCGACCTTTCCCTGTAGGGCTTCAATAATTATTTTCCTTCTTTTTTTCTTGTGCACGTCCAGGACTTGCTGCTGAGCTTGGGTTGGCTCGAATGACCTGCTTCTAGAAGCCGATCGTCTACAATGATCACCCCAGTGTAACCCTCTTCGCGATTACAGCATTGTAAGTAAATTAGTTGTTGCTTCTTGTAAATAAAAGTGTGACTTCGTGTTCCTGCACGCACACGCAATATGGCGTCTTATGATGATTGTGTCTATAGTCTTTCAATTTGTCATACTGCAACAAAGTTGTAGAATGTTGACATTTTCGCCCCTATCTGATCCGCCATGCTTTGCCAGTTTCGAGGTGTTGCAGTATCTTGTCCTTTCATCTAATCCGAGGTTTTTCTTGTATTTTCTGTATACCCAGATTTCGCAGACATTATTCATCTCGCCTTGAGAGGCGATCGCCTTCAGCGTGACCACACCTGAACAACGGAACTACTCTGGTACGTTCTGCGTTCGATTCTCTCACGTATCTTTTGTGGAGTGCAAGTGACTTGTGTACTATGTTGCACAAGTGTATACATTTGTGGGCGTGCGTGCATGCATCAATGGTTTTTGGTAATCCCGGATGATGATCCTACCATGCTAATTTCGAGGGGAGTGAGACGATGTGCGTCCCTCCCTTATGACCCACGAATCGATAGGACTGACGGGACTAAATACGAATGCAGTTTTACATTCTTTGTCTCTTTCTAGTTCTAACACGTTCCCTTGTATTCTTTTCATCTGTCTTTGTAGATGTGGTGCTGCATCTGAGAGGGGTTCAACGTCGGGATCGTTCTTGTGCACCCATACATGAAGGTAAGATCTTTTGCTCTAATTATCTGTTGCAATGCCTATGCTTCACGTGATGTTTTATTGCATAGTTCACCTGAATCCAGGCTAGACTTGGTTTCTTGATGACAACTTTTTTATAACTACTGATGGAAGCTTGGTCTCTAAAAGAATTCTCGTTTTCTCTTGGATCTGGTTTAATCGTAGTGTTTGTGCCTCTCTTTTCTTCATCTTCAGGCCTCATCGGTCCGGCTGAGCAAATCCTCCGTCCTACCATCATACACATTGATCTTTGCTATTCTGTTTTGCAATGGAGTTTTAAAACTTACAACCTGTTGATTTTGTGTTGGGAGCAGTCTGTTTTTGGTGCGTGCATTCGGCACTGCTTGGTCTAGTCCGGCTGCGCCACTATCTGAAATGGGTTATTCGGCTCCAGCAGGAGACACCCTTGTTGCTGTTGCCCTGTTTCAAAATTTTACATTCCCAAACCAGTCTTGGAATATCACATCCCCGTAGTCCGTAAATGCAGATGGCATGAATTCTACTCTCGTGTACTGAATTGCCCGATTCTGGGGCGTTTTTGCATTCGCCTATACTTGCATGTACAGTGTCGCATTATTATGCTGATTGCATGTACACAGCTTTTCTGCTACTTTCTGTGTAGTAAATTGTGCATTCACTGGCAAAAACTCCTGCTTCCACAGGCGAAGGTGTCAGTGTGAATTACGCGACCTGTGATTTCCAGTATCTTGCTTTTCCAATGGGATATGATAGCAACTGAAGAAAGAATTATGCTGTGAAGAATATGGAATGTATGATTTTGCACATGCGTGCTGCTAACTACAATGTACATGTATGTATGTCACGAATGTGATCATGTGTTGCCGAAAGTTGCCTTCTCAACTACTCCAAAGTAAAATATGTCTGCATGGCATGCAGTATGGGAGAGCGCTCCCACCATTTGCATGGATGAGGTGAGCAGGAAATGCCACAGTACGTAAAGAGCTCAAGTGTTAGTTTCATGCGCATTGGAGCGAGAATTATAAGTCTAGTCGCACTGCATGGCAGCAGTGTTTTCAGAGTAAATGTTGTACAGTGTTTTCATGATGCAGCAGATTTTGTCCACACACTTGCATGATTATGGTGTTGCGAAATTTCGGGCGAGTATGAGAGCAGCACGCATCGCCAAGCCGCTTCACTTTGACTTGCTCCTGTACAGTGGTGGTGTACTCACACAGGCTCCTGTTACCAGAGCTGTGTTGTGCTGCATCCAACATGGTCGTGGCGCATAAGCGTGAGCGGCGAAAACAGCAGTGTTGGTGCTTCGCAACCAATCACCCACCTCGAGAGGCCCACAGGAACGGCACAGGTGCATGCGCAATCCATGCAACATGCCATGCATCTGCTAGCAAGCTGTCTCTGAGCTCAGGACCGACGGCGCTTTCTGTGGAACACTATCACGCTTTATTAGCAGTCGCTGCAGGGCGTGACCATTCAACCACCTCACAATGATGAGCTCAAGGCATGCAGGAATGGCGCAGGTGCGTGCGCAATCCATGCAACGTGCCATGCATCTCGGCTAGCAAGCTGTCTCTAAACTCGAGACCGACGGGGCTCTCTGTGGAACAGTATCGCCCGCAGTCGCAGCAGAGCGCGACCATTCGGTCTCCCACATCAAAACATGGCCGTCGTGATCCACAGCCACGTGTTGCAACGACTCATCATCCACATAGCCGCGAAAGCCACCTCCGCAACTGGCCACCAACTTCTGCCGTTGAGCGGGTGCTGCTTCGTCCACAGCTGCTGCCGAATCACTGGATTTCGCTCTCTCCGCGGGAGGAGCAGCAGCAGCACTTGAGCTACTAGCTTGGCGACTTGCTGCCCCTAGAGCCTGTTTCTTCACTGCACCGTCGCATGGCTGCAGAATGGGTAGAAACATGTTCACCTGCAGGTGGTACAGAAAGAAGGCAAGCACGGGAAACGTCTCACAACAAGAGGATGTAGTTTACTTTTCTCCAAGTGCATCTCCATATGCTCGATCCAATCTTGTTAAATAAACGTGGAGCAGAAGGGTGGTGAGATCTAGTGCACTCTGCCGACCTTGGGTCGCGGCTTCATAGTGTGCTGGATGCATGCACCAATATCATGAGAAGACATTTCTTTTTACAAAACACCCACACCATTTAATGGCATAAAGCAGCAAGGCAGCGATGAGACCTACATCATGTACATGTATTATGGAATGGCAGGAGTGGGGGAGAGGCAGGGGCAGCTTGACCGACCATAGGGTCTCGGCTTCATCGCAACCCAAGCGCTCCACAAAAACAAACATTGGTGTGAACGAGCGCTCACAGTAAGTTCTTGAAGAACACCTATGGTAGTATCATAGACAAGCACCCACTGTGCATGCACGAATCTTCCGTATCTGGAGGCAAACTTGCACGACCAGCACATGATGTAAATACAGTGGAGCGTCGGATTTTCCACCGCCTTTTGGATTGGGCAAAGTTGCCTGATTTTCGAGGTGGTCTGATTTCTGGAAATGACCATCTCCTATGAGATATAAATGTGAAGGAAATTTTTGGAAAACTGTACAACTCAGCATTATTTTTGCTATCTGTCTCACTTAACTCACCCGCTCTTGGTGGTGTCGATAGTAGGCGTGGAACGGCGGCTGAGAGACCTCCTTGGACAGATCCATGATGAGTATGTGGCCACCACGTGTTCCGATGTACAGCTCTTGCCCGTGACAGAGCAGTGACGAGACGTAGGCTTGGTTTGCTGTAGCACGTGCGTACCAAAAGAAGACAGGAAAGACAGGACGAGGAAGGTAAGCATCCAGTGCACAAACACCTAGAAAAACTAGGTTGCAGCAGAAAGGTTCTGTGATACACACAAACTCATGCACCGGAACACACGACAACCTGCATGCACATACACACACACATACACCTTGACCTTTGACGCCCATCGCCGGAGGCGATGATAGCAATGCTACGGCAGAAGCCATAGCAACTTGTGCTGGGATTACACCATTCAACAGCTTGCAAGGCTGAAGAATTGACCGTCACTATTCAGCCTGGTCTACACCATACAGCTATTTGGAGTGACATTTTCTGGCCAGTGAATCCCTTTTTTGGTCTTTTTCATTTTTTTTTTTTTTTTTCTTTTTTTCCCGCACACACATCACACCACATACTCCGGCATGCACTGGCTGTTGGTAACCACCCAGGAGAATGAAAGAAAAGTCAGGAAGAGTCTGAGAAAGAGAAGAAAGACGTGTGTGACCATAATCGTCGGGAATCGAACCCGCAATCTATCGATTGGAAATCGCTGCACATACCACTGCACCATATGGGACACACACACACGCACACACACACACACACACACACACACACACACACACACACACACACACACACACACACACACACACACACACACACACACACACACACACACACACACACACACACACATACACACACACACACTCTCTCTCTCTCTCTCTCTCTCTCTCTTTCCATTCCGTTCTCACCTTGTCGCGGTGGCAGCTTCATAATAGCCGAGCAGTCGAGTTTGGTCACCACCGACAATGTTCTCACATCCCAGCAAAACACAACAGGACTATGGCGGACACTTCCCCAAACTGTCTGAACCAGTTGTATGTGGGTTTCATCATCGCCAACGCCACCGCCGCCTCCATCTGCATTCACATACATCACAGACACCACAGCAAGAATGATAACAGTTACAATACAACTGGCATCAACGCTCAGGTGCCAGTCACAGTTGCTTCTCTCACGACCATCTACCCACTGTCATAGTTCCTTGCTATTATTCATTTCCCCTCTTCCTCCCCTCCTCATGGTTTTACTCTATTATGGCGCGCTTTGTCTGCGTAGACGCCGAGACCTTGAAGGTCGGCAGAGCAGCCTGGCCCCGCCACCACTTCTCGCACATATTCGGGAACATAACGGTTTTTCGTACAAAAAAATAAATGTTAGCCTCGAGAATAAGGGCGGCCTGCCAGCAATAGAACTACAGTGTACCAAGGAAAGCCATCGTTGTACGGAAAAAAGGTCTCCTTGGAGAATTACATTCCACCTGACGCCTGAACAGGCATGAACGTACACTTGTTCGCTCTTATCTCTTCTCCTTTGTGAGTTGGGCGTGTGATTCTGAAGTAGAGAATTACAAAAAGAACACTTTCCTGCTGCCCCTGGGGGTAAATCCCATCAGAACTCTACTGTCCATAGGCTTACCCGTACTGTGTGTTATGTTCGCCTCTGCGTGTCCAACTCACACTCTCCAACAACACAAGGAATCCTGGAACAAACAACTGACTTCTTCATGAAACTCCAAACGTATATAAAATGAGCTCACGCGCAGGGTTGCCCTGACCCGTGGCAAAGCGGTTTCTATGACGTCACGTCCATATACACATCACTGTGTGTAGCGAAAGCTCTACTGTCCATTGGCTTACCTGTACTGTGAGTAGCAGAACTCGTGGAAGAGTTCCGACCACTTGCCGATGGCACATCGCCATCGCAACGATCATCTTGGCTGCTTGCTTGAGAGGCAGCAGAATCAGGACGGGCAGCCGTGACATCATCTATACGTTGAACAAACACACAATGATGTCATCATTCCGTGTAGAAATAGCAATGTTAGTAGTCGGGCTGATCTTTGCATGGGCATTTTTGACGCTCACACAAACGCACGCACGCATCCATGCACACACACACACACACACACACACACACACACACACACACACACACACACACACACACACACACACACACACACACACACACACACGCAAGCATCCATGCACACACACACACACATACACCACACACACACACATACACGCACACACATACACACACATACACACACACACACATACACGTAATCCCTCTCCCCACCCCCCCCCCCCCCCCCACCCCCACACATACACGTAATCCCTCTCCCCACCCCCCCCCCCCCACCCCCACACATACACGTAATCCCTCTCCCCACCCCCCCCCCCACCCCCCCCCCACACACACAACCCCCCTCCCCCCCCCCCCCCCCACACACACGTACCTTGAGTTCGTTGCTCAGAGCCGGTTGAAGATTCACGCGCACCCGAATCAGGCGTGCGGCTCTTGGGACGCTTGGCCACCATACTATCATCAACGACCGTACACCTGCGACGGGCTACAGTCGCTGCTCTGCGCAGTTGTTCGGAGTTCTCTACCGAGGAAGCCCTCAGACGGGACACACCCGACAACGGTGGCTGCAGCAGCAGCGGACTGTCGCCCAGCGAACAGGAGAAGCGCTTCTGAACGTCCGGCGAGCTCTCCGCCGAAGAGGAGCACCTAACGTCGACGCGACGCGAGTGCTGCAGGCGCGAGACCCGCGCGACCGTGCTGCAGGACAGGTTGGAGACGACCAGGTGCGCCATGTGACCCCTGTTCCTCTTCTCGGCCAGCGGGATGCCGACCTCGGTGCGCTGGCGCAGCGTCAGGCCGTCGAGGACAGCGATGCGGCCGTGATCGTGCCCGCACCAGATCTCAATGCTGCGTCCGCCGGGCCGCCGTCGAGGCTGCTGCTGCTGCTCAGTGCTATACTGGTGACCGTTCCCTTGCATATCATCCGCTCCGCCATCGCGATCATCGTCGGGGCTTGCCGCCGGCAGCAGTAGCTCAGGAGTGTTGGCGTAGCCCGCCGTCGCAGGGCCCCCGCCACGCTGGGCAGTGCTGGCGCCGATGTCATCCTGAAGAGTGGTTGTTATGCCAGTCACGTCCAGACTGCTGCTTCCAGTGCTGTCCGTGGACGACTCCAGGCCACCGGTGCCGAAGCCTTGCAGAGCCGCCGTGCAAGGCAGTCCGGCCGGGAGAGATGCGGACGCTCGTGACGACGACGTTGTGCTGGCTGCTAGCTCCTGCCCGGTGGCCTCGGCGTGCGATGTCGTTGTCGCGGACGCGCCTGACTTGGCAATGGGCGAGCGCACTCGGGTCGGTGTGCGGTTGCGAACCGTGCGGCTGAACGAGGGCATTGTGCTGCTGCGCTGGGTGAGCAGTGGGTCATCCTCGTCCTCGTGCAGTGCCGGCACCGCGATCATGCAGGCTATGGTGTCCTTGCGGGACGTGTACCTGTTGTAGCAGAGGGAGTGATGAGGCAGTGTGTGCGTGTGAGGTGGGGGTAGGTGGGGTGGGCAGGGGCAGGGGGAGAACAACAGAGAGACCGACATACCAATGGAATCAGACAGTTTCAGGTACGCAATCAATGAGAGAGAGAAAGCGACAAAATAATGGTCAAATCTCAATCTAGCAGAACACACATGACAGAGCAGAGAATGGTATTGTAAAGCCTCAATTCCCTGGGCATGGCCGGGTGGTGAATTCAATGCACTGCGCATGAACAAACATGCGAAGCATTGCCAAAGTAAGCTGCACGCATGTCACAAAAACATTCACTTAGTTTTTAGCACCAGACAGAAACTAGTACATTGGAGACAGTCTCTGCTTGATGGGTTTCGCGACCCCAGTTTCGGATTTAGCCAGCACCGGTCATTCCCCTGGATTTCTATGTCCACAGATGTGCTCAGCCTTACCTGGCCATTTCCTGCAGTTCCACCCTGTGGCTAGGCACCTGCTGTGGAGCAGTGGTGGCGGTGATTGCCATGACGTCACCGGTCAGAGTCGCCTGCGTTGCCGTGGAGAACACGGAGTAGCGATCGGCAGAGCCGGCGGTAGTAGTGGTGCTCTCACCTCCCCCCGATGATGTCGCCGATGTTCCCACCGCAGACTGAGCTGGCGGCGACGATGGCGGGTCCGACAGCATTACCGACGCTGACGACGTACGCGCAGCAGCAGCAGCGTCCGTTGCCGTTGGTTGGTGATCCTGGCCACTGTCGGTGAACGTTCCGGCGAGGCTGCGGTCTACCGTTGAGGAGTCTTGACCGCGGCCAATCTTCATGTCCTTCAGCCTGCATAATAACACAACACAAGAAGATGCAACAGATAGTGTAAATTAGAAAGATTATAGATATTATACTAGAGAGATTACTAGTACAGTTTCTTATTACAGGGTGTGACAGAGCTCTCGGCCATTGAAGAACATGTTGAGTATCACCTCCACCACTACTGATGAGCTATGTATTAGCGAAACCGCTGTCTGAAGGAATAACAGTTATCAATATCGTCTACGGAAGTGTCCTCGCAGTGGTGATGGTAGTGCGCAGGCAGTATGGTCTAGTCGGCTGAGAGTGCAGTGTAGTGGTGCCGGTGATACTCAATAGTACAGATTCGGCCAGAGAAATACGACATGAATAAAGTGGCACGACGCTGAGGCGCGCAGAGTGCTTTGTGTGTTCCCAATGCCGCATAGCCTCCGGCACTTCTAGCAGATGAGACGTACCTTTCTTGCATCGAGTAGACGCTGCCGACAGCTGATTTAGTCGAGGATCTCTGCATTCCATGTCTGGATAGCAGAGTAGCTGTGCTTCCTGCACTGCCAACGTCCGGCGATGCGGGCAGACTGGCCAGGAACAGAGGCTGGTCGTGGTACGCAATCACAATGCCATTGCCCTGCGGAAGATGAAAGATAGAAAGGACAATAATGTCCATACATGTCAGTTGCGTCACAGGGCAGTGAGAAGTGGTATGACCACGTGTACGCCCTAAACACTTCGACCTAGGTTCAGCATGCACATAATGACCATGAATGACATGCACCAGCCATCATACACATATGCGGCCGGGCACCCACTAAACGGGGGACCAACTATGCCCCTGGGCGCTGTGTACTCACCAAGGCTACGTAGACTCTCTGGTACTCGGGCACGTGTAGCATGCTGAGCACGGGGCGATCGCGGCACAGCCACTCGCGAGCCAGCGGCTGGCGTGTGGCCGCGTCCACAAACATGATGCTACCGTCCAGCATGCCCAGCCACATTATGTCGCGTACGGAGATGATGGCATAGACACAACAGCTCATGGTAAGGATATCCTGCATGCAAGCGAGAAAACAGAACACCAACAAGACAGCACACGTTTAGGTTACTATTAAACACAGTATAATCTCTCTCCCAACCTGCCCACGGTGTGCCTGGGTGGCCATGAAGTCGAGACCCCATGTTGGTGGAGCTCCTTAAGCCTCACCACCACTGCCACGATTCATGTTGTGTGTGTGTGCTTCCCCAGCCGCAGCTCATGTTTGGCATTGAAGTGGTCTTTGAAAAAAAATAGAATTATATAGCAGCAACCTTTCAAGGCGACCGCTCTGATACTGAGACCACCTGTCCCAGAAGACCACTACAACGATGAGGACCAAAGGATGCCATTTCCAGTCAAATGACTTTGCAGGGTTCTAGCCAGGTCAAGGGGGGGGGGGGGGGCATGGGAAACAGTTACCCTATATCCCATTTTTCCACTTTCCAATATTGTCTTGCCACGCCAAATGCAACGTATGGGGCGAATCCCTGACTTCACCCCAGACAAATGTGCCTTTACGAACCATCTATGCATGAAAAACACGAAAATCGGAAAATGAGTAGGGGGGGGGGGGGGTGCGGCAATATTTCACAGGGGGGGGGGGGGGGGGGGGGGCGCTGCGCCCCCCCCCCCCCCCCCCCTACCCCCCTTTGGCTAGAACCCTGCTTTGGATAAGGAGATCACCAGTTTGCCAAACTGTTTCTATGTAAGCACACTTTGTTGGCTTGCCTCACCAGCACAGGTTCCTTCTTGGAGCCCCTACTCTTCCCATTGTTGTGTTTTCCTGCTACTTCTCTCCCCTTTTCTTACGAGTAGGTTGCGTCTTCAGAAAAAAGATACAATGGGTACCGGGAGCAGGGGCGTGCTCGGCTCCCCAACTAGGGGGGTGCACGGGAGCCGAGGAGAGTCCCCCCCGCGGCCCCTCCCCCCCGGCAATTTTCTGCAATTTGTTTGCAACCTTTCTTGAATTTTAGAGCATATTTGCATACATTACAATTGCAATTACCCAGATTGAAAATTTTTGGGGGGTGCACGTGCCCCCCGTGCCCATCGCCGAGCACGCGCCTGGGGAGGCCAAAGGCAGATGGTCCTTCACACACAGGGGATCTTACCTCCCACTTGGAGCCGTGTCCTGTGTAGGTGAGCACGGTGACATTGGCAGTGTGATTGTCACCACTACAAAGCCAGAGTTCGGAATCAGACGTGTCCATTCCTGCCGCTGGCACGGTGGCCTCGCCGTTCTGCCACCTCCCCTGCTGCTGCTGCTGCTGGCGGTGGAAGCGATCGGCAGACGAGCGCATTGCTGCCGCTGCCTCCGCCGCCGCTGCAGCAGGTCCCATGGCAGACTTGGACGCAGCAGTCCCGTTGCTGTCGGCTGTGTATAGAGAAATGTGCATACAATCACAGAACGCATAGTGTCAGCAAAACGAGCAATATGAGCGATGGCCGCATGATACGAGTACATTGAAATAACATCCAACACCCCGCCGCCGCCGCCAATTCATATCTGACAGACATAAGGCCCCTGCGTTTAAAACTCCAATGAAATTTGTCTGCATTAGCTAAGAAACGACAAAATCATGCTATCAACAAACCCCAAACATCGCACATCACGCCAGAGCACAAACGAGGCGCCATTACTCGACTGTCAGCACCGTTTCAAAACACCACTGACAAAAGGCCCTCGAGAGTAGTCACGAATACTAAAACACAGGACTCTCATCAGCGTCAGTTTGCCCCAAAAATCATGGAGCTGAAGGATTCCTGCTGGCACAGAACAGCGTTTCCGTGCTTCAAAAGAAGACCGTGACAGTGTGAGTATGCGCAGAGTTTACCATGAACACATACAGTGTACTATATAGGTGCATACGTACTACGGGTGTATAGTATACAGCCATTATAAATTGACAGCAGACCGTTACAAACACAGAACGCGAGAGAGAGAGACTCGAGAGGCAATGTTTTGAAATCCCATACCCTCGTGTCACATTTGTCCCAAAACGCACCAGGAAGTATCGCAGTACACACACCTCACAACAAGAACGATGGATGCACTTGGCTGATTACGCCACTTTTGTTGTGGTCATCAGAAATGCAGGCCCCAGCGGACATTGCCTGACACACAAAACACAATACCCAGTGTAGGCACTATACTACATGTACATGTATGTACACTTTCCCCGGTGTCCCTTGTGTGTATTTTATTTTTTTATTCTTGAAGTTGATTGTTTCAACTAGGAACACACGCTTGTTGCCGAACTTGACACTTGACTGACTCACGACTGCCACGACTTCATGACTATTACCGCCGAAGTCGCAACTTCTAAGTTCGTTTTTTTATTCTTTTATTGAAAACCACAAACCTTCAGACATGTGAACGTGCACATATACATCGTACATGCGTATGACTGTATAGAGGAGGCAGCACAGAAACGGCAGTGGTGGTGAGGCCTGGGCAGCTCTCGTCCGTGCAGCCTAAGGTATATCCACTGGGCCATTTCCAATTTCCATGCACACACACACAAACGCTCACTATCGTCAGGTACACATCATACTATACCAGTTAGTAGTGGTTGTCGTGACACTGAAAACACAACAACAAAACACCACCACTTCTCACTGTGACCTGACTCCACTATAACCACACTGTCACATCCACACAGTACTCTCTTATACACTCTCTAGGTCTACACCAACCAATGAAAAGTAATACGCTGATCCGAATTTTCGGGCAAGGCAAATCTTCAGGAAACGAACAACACGAGTGTCATGCAAAATAGTGACACACAGTCAAGAAGCTCGCCACGTAACTCTATACCATGCCCATGACGGAACATTTTAGCATGCTCACGGCGTAACTCCATACCAAACTCATGACACTGATAACATGCACGCATGCACATTGCTGCATAGACATTGTGAGAGATTCATTACCGTATGTGAAACCTGCACTCGGGGATTTTCTTTCATGTTAAGCGGTTCTGCTAAACTGTACAGTGGGATTTTCTTTCATGCCATTAATCCTCACGTTTAACTGAACAGTAGGAGCCATGTACTCACACAAACAAACACTTGCGAACAGATGCACCCATACATATACAATGTTAAGCATACTGGCTGTCACACAGACATGCACACACATGCACACACATGCGCACATATGCACATGCCGCACGCACACACACACACACACACACACACACACACACACACACACACACACACACACACACACACACACACACACACGCCAAGTTAAAGCACTAGACCACCATTTGCAAACCAGGAAAAGCTCGTACGGGGAGTTACAAGCTACGAAACCGGAAAAGAAGGGCAGGGGTATCAGGCGTCGAATCCAAGTTACAACAAAATTGGCACGTGGCAGCTAACGGAACATTCCCCCTCGTTATAAAGCAAATCCAGTACCATCAGCAGAAGACCGAAACATGCAGAGTATTGCTTCTAGAATGGACTCGGATGGAAAGCTAAGGATAAATCAGATTCTGTAGGAAAGGACCAAGGATTGGTGTGACTGGTGGTGTTAATGGACATCATAGCATAACTTGTACTTCCTTGGTCCTTTTTCTTTTCTATAAGACTAGTCTTGCTTCTGTGGCAAATTTTTAAATGTCACAGTACTGTCTCTGGCGATATCAACAACACGTCAACACACCTTTGTTTATGCCAGACTGGTGATAAGCACAGTACAGGTTAAGTCAGTACTGAAGCACTTGTCAACCGCCCACAATTAGTGACTGTCATGGCACAGGGACCAGCGTTATGATTGCTTTGGTGGCTGTGCAGAAAGGACGACCTGCCAGTTGGTTTGATTACGGTGACGTTGAAACTTCTCCATTGTGCAGTTAAATCTGCGCATGCGCACGTATGCGCGCGCGTGTGTGTGTGTATGTATGTGTGTGTGTGTGCGTACGTGCCGCGTGTGTGTGCGGCATGTGCGTGTGCACGTGTGTGAATGTGTGTGCATGTGGTACCACTCAATGGCCAGTCCACTCAAAATCAGACATGCTCTATCCCTATAATCTGTACTGTGATGTCACTGTGCTGCAATGGCGCACATCAGGCCGCAGAGCCATGAACACTGTGCCCGTCAAGGTTCTGACCCTGCCAGCACCACACCTCCCTATGCACGTATCTCATTTATAAAGAAAGAGAAAGGACCAAGGAACTACAAGTTACGCTATACTGTCCACTAACACCACCAGTTACTAAACAATCAGCTCATGCGATAACATTGCACGACACTGACCGACGGTACTTGTAGTTCCTTGGTCCTTTTTCTTTCTTTCTTTATAAATGTATCCTTGGCTCTCCATTCGAGATGTATCTCATTGCACTACACTGAAAAAACTCCCATTCACTCCTCCCAAGAGGAGGTTTGATGTTAGTCTTCGGCTGAAGTAAAGGAGAATTTGATCCAACACACGCACACGCATCGAGACACAACTTGGCTAGGTAACCAAGGAGCGGCTCAGGCAGGAGTTGGGTCAAGGGGGCCAAAACACACAAGCTGGCTAGCAGTTTCTTGTGAAAGCTCACTATAATTATAACCATGTCAGATCAGGTGACATGTGGTCCGTTTCCAGGAGTGCCCCTGAGCTCCTATCTGGTTAGAATTGAGGAGCAAAAGGGTGATGAGACCTAGAGCACTCGACCGACCTGAGGTCTCGGCTTCATCATGAGTGAACTAGATGTACCAATATGGCATGAAAAAAACGAGAAAAGGGAGAGGGAGAGGAAGACCTACCAGCAACCCAGCATTCACCTACTGAGCAACCCAGCACTGCCCAGCGCTTCCCTAGCAGTCAACAACTTGCAAGTTGGAGGCATAAATTCAATCACAAACCTCAACAACACGCAACCTCCCTGCAGCTATTTGCACATGGTGACATCACAAGGAAAGGTATTGGCGGAAATGGATATCAGTATGTAGACCAATTGGGTAACGGATTTCAGAGATAAGACCATGCATCAGAGAAATAAGTAGTAGCTCTTAGCGTGGCATGTCTTCTCGTTTTCAGTGCCCTTACCACAAGAAAGAGTATTTGCGGAACTAGCTCAGTGTGTCATTAACACCTGTCGCAGTACAAACCTTGCCAAGGAGGGGGGAAACATCACACAGCGAGCAAAGACATGCCGAGAAGCCCCCCTAGCATGAGCCAAGAACAACACCTCATGGAGTAGCGATATCACCACCACCACCATCCATGAGTCGGTCATGACCAACCAGGACACAGTCATCTCTCTTGTCTGTTACACGCGCTAATCAAATCACCTCCTTCTGCGGTACAACGCCCAGTCGTTATCCGCAGAATGGGGCTGACATGGAGCAGGGAGCTGGCAGCTGGGAGAACGTTCCTAGATAAATAATCTGAGCCCCTCTCTGCACGTGCAACACAGCCTAGTAGTCATGTTCAGTGCCCATTGATAGTGTGTGAGGTCATCAACTTACTAGGCTGCACAAAAACCAATACGACTACTTGCACACAGATCAACCAGTACTAACCCATTTTCCATTGTATGGCCATTGGCCCTCTCTTCACTTTGTACAAGAAGACTTGAACTGGATTTAATTTAGTATCTATTTGCCACTTGAATGCGATTACCTATCCCCATACTTGTGGCTTCCCGCCAGAGGGCTATCTCACAGTCAAAGAGCAAAGAAAGTCGGTTTCCATGTCAGAGCTCTCTTCCGGAATAGCTTTCCAATCTGGTGCAAACCAACTCTCCAGACAGCCTCACAGAGAGCGCTAGCGCGCGGGGGAGCACAAAGCTGAGTAGGGTAACAGGTGCACACGTCCTGCCCATCCCCCTCCAGTACTGGAACACATGCATGCCATCATGCCATCATGCCCTGCTGTAGCGTAGGTGAATGCGCAGCATCATACCTAGTATTGTACTCAGTCCGGCTCCTGAGATGAAGTCAGTCACACACCAGAATGTGATTGCATGTGGTACACCTGGCGTACAGGTTCTCTGCAGATATTTTTTTAAATTTGATCCTGCCAACTGTCCTGACTGTCACATCTCTTTTCTCCTCCATGATCCCCCCAACTGTTCAAGCTCATAGAATACCACATGGCCAGACAGGCATGGGGTCCCTGCTTCAAGCTGCACTGCTACGCCAATGCAACCGTAGTAACTCCACATCTGTGTAGCCATTGGGAAAGAGAGGGTCTCAGAACAGAGCAAGCTTGCCTTCTCAGTTCTAAAAAGGTCCTGGATCCAGGGAGCATCTAGCTGTCATCGCCGGTGGTGAGAATGATGCACAAAAACACCCACTGCACCATCAGCTATCATGGCCAACCAAGAATCAACAACACACAACACGTGGATTCTACACATGGTCCAGCACTG